AGGTTTATTTCAAAGAGCAATTCCCTAGTGGATGAGAGCCAGCGAATTTGCTTCCCAGGAGCTGTTGCTGACAGGTACAAATCTGCCCAGCAGCTCCATGAGTGTTTTGTAAAGTAATCATGTTTTGGGAGAAAGGGAGAGGGCACCCAGCAACAGCTGTGTGCTCCCCTCCTCCTGCAGGTGGCTTGCTACAAACCTGGAGTTCCTGGGCAATGGCATCGTGCTGTTTGCAGCCCTGTTTGCAGCCGTGGGCAGGACACAGCTCAGCCCAGGAACTGCTGGCTTCTCCCTTTCCTGTGCCCTCCAGGTAACCCAGTGGGGAAATAATACCATGCTTGCCTTTATCAAAAGCAACTGCATTTTAATTTCTGTTATGAACTATTTCTGTGCCTTTTTAGATGCCTTTTCCTACCAAATCCTGCTGTCATTGCTGAAATCCAGAGCATCTGGAGCACATGGCCCCTTAGGGAAAGAACCTCAAACACATGTATGGGCCATCTTCTTCTTCCCGCACCTGAACTCAAGATATAAGTCAAAGCAAGCCCTGGGCAGCTGAAGCAAGGTCTTCAGAACCTGTCTTACCTGCTTGTAGACTAGTTGCACAAGAGCCTAAGAAATAGCTACACCATCTTTTAGCATCCAAGTCAGTAGAATTTAATTCTCTAAAAACATGCTGAAAGGGCTGTGGCAGGACCTGGCTTTCACTTTAGCATCTTAAGGATTTCTGATGCAATCTAATTTCTGATATAATTAGCTGATGAGGAGATCCTTAGAAATAAACACTAAGACAAAGTACCAGGTATCTCCTGAGCACAGGCCAGGGCTCATTTTATCTGCCCTAATGCTTCTTTTCCACTGTGCAGATAACTGGTGTTCTGAACTGGATGGTTCGCTCCTGGACAGAAGTAGAGAACAACATTGTTTCTGTGGAGAGACTGAGAGAATACCTGAGGACTCCTAAGGAGGTAGCTAATCCACTACTGACCTTACCAGAAGGGGCTGAACATCTTTGCAAACTCAATGAATAACTTTTCAGTTCCAGCTGAAAAAATCTCTAGTTTTCCCCTTCTAAAAGGCCAGTCATGTTTCCTTTAAAGAACTGCAGCATTTGGAGTTTATCCAACTGACTAGAGTTGTTTTATAACCTCTGATCATTATTTCCTTAAGACAGTTATGGACTGGATTGCCATTAAAATAGCTTCACTTGTTAACACTCATGGAATGAGACATTTCCTGCCCATATTTGGAGTATTTATTATGTGACTTCAGATGCAACTCACTGATAAGTAATGGCTCCTAGATAGCCTTTTAACTCCTAGAAGTCTCCAGTGCAGTAATTTTTGTTCTGTAATCATTAAAATTATATCTCCATGTGCTGCCCTGAGAGAGGAGGCTTTCACAGTCCTGTTTATAGGGGCATATAAATTTTTATTATTGAACCACTCAATGTCAGAACGCTGACATGCAAGCAAACGTTCATCTCCATTTTCAGTAAAGAAAATTCGACCAGTATCTTTGGATAAAGTAAAAACAACATCTGCAGTATGAAACTCAGAGGCCTTTTTCTGGTTTGGAAACTGCGAAAAGATTGGGGGGCAGTTGGCACAGGTGTCTTCAGGAGCTCCCCATTCCAGTATTGCCACTTGACTGGGTAATTTAAATCAGCCTTCAACACTGCTGTTTGCTTCCATCTCTTCAGGCACCCTGGACTCTGAATGGCAAACTTCAAGGGCAAGTTTGGCCCACTGAGGGAAGGATTGAATTTAGAAACTACAGCCTGTGCTACAGGCCAGGTTTGGAGTTAGCACTGAGGCGTGTCAGTGTGACCATCAACGGGCACGAGAAGGTAAAAAACCCCTCCAGCCGTGTGAGCCGTGCTGGGCACTGACCAGATCCAGGGCACCCAGCCCCTGCCTGCACCCAGCTACAGCAACCTGGCAGCTGCAGGAAAGCAGGAGCCCATCTTCCACACTGCACACCTTGTCCAGCTTATTACAGCAAAGGAATTCCACTTTTTCAGTCCAGTTCTACATCACAGCCCTGTTCGAACTGCTAAGTCTTGTAATTATTCTTCCCTTCAAAGGCTTTTGTGATTCCTTTTCATACAAAACAATTGTGAGCTATAAGTGCTTCCATTTGAAGAAAGTATTGCCAGACCATATGAATCACAAACAGCCCTAAAGATCTGATCTGTGCAAAGCTGTCTCCCATCAAAAGGCCAAGAGAAACTACATGACATGTTTGTGTGAGAAAGAATCAACATGAAAACCAAAGTCCTGCCATTGCACTTTTCAGATTGGCATAACTGGCAGAACAGGAGCTGGGAAATCCAGCCTTGCTGTGGGCTTGCTGCGACTGGTGGAAGCTGCAGAAGGAGCCATCCTCATCGATGGACAGGACATTGCCCAACTAGGTCTCCATGACCTCAGAAGCAAGATCACTGTCATTCCCCAGGTATGAAACTCATTTCCAAAATCCTTGAGCAGTGTCTTGAACACCTGGGAAGGGTTTATAAAGATTTTGTGAGAGGAGGGACATTCAGCAATTTCCAAGTTGGAAATAACCTCCATGCTGTGTTCCTCTGCCATTCAATACATCAGCCATAGATTCCCACCCAGCAGGCAGGACCCAAGAGCTCATTTTTATAATTCATTTCAGGAGTTGTTTGTACTGTCTCTGTGCTCAGGATCCAGTTTTGTTTTCTGGCTCCCTAAGAATGAATCTCGATCCATTAAACCAATACACCGATGCAGACATCTGGACAGCTTTGGAACTGACTCAGCTCAAGAACTTTGCTGCAGATTTGCCAGAGCAGCTGGAATATAAGTGCACTGACCAAGGGGAAAACCTAAGGTACCTTTATCTGCAGAAAGACAGTGGCAGGGCAGTGCCAGCCCCTGGGCTAGAAGAACAGAGCTGGTTGGAAAAGGAGGCTAATTCCTTTAAAAAAAAATCAGTAATGATGGCCAGACTGAAAATTGCTGCGCTACTGTCCTGTTTAGCAGCACAAAATCAACCCTAAGACACTAAGTAAGACCTTTCAGACTTAATCATTGTGGTGGTTTGTATTTGTGCAGTGTGTACCTAAATCCCTGCAGTCTGTTCCAAGTGCAGCTCTTCTGGGTGCCATAGCAATACCTTCCCCTCCCTTCCTCAGGCTGTTTCATGCTGTTACCTAGCTGCAATGCCACCAAACTCAATCACCCTTTCAGAGAAAGGGAACAATCACCTCTTCATTATTGATTTCAAATGAATCATCTGTTCTGACCCCAAGGAAAAGTGACTACTGGCTTCAGTTTACCATCCCTCTTCTTACAGCACTGGTCAGAAACAGCTGGTTTGCCTGGCCAGAGCACTCCTGCAGAAAGCCAAAATCCTTGTTCTGGATGAGGCCACAGCAGCAGTGGATTTAGAGACTGATGTCCAGATTCAGTCCATGCTGAGGACTCAGTTCAGAGACAGCACCGTGCTGACGATCGCTCACCGGGTGAGCACCGTGCTGGACTGTGACAGGTAAGGACATCAGAGCAGGGGAGCACTCAGGCAGCTGCTGGGACTGACACCCCACTGCGGTGCTGAACAGCAACTCCATTTCTGTCCTCTTTGTGTTTAAACCTCCAAGCTTTGCTTTAGAGTTTGGAGGATCTCTCTTAAAGCAGCAGGGCACCAGCAGGTCAATCAGAGATCCTTTACTCCCACCAAGTGCCTTTCCTGCTGTGTCACAGCCCTCTCCCCCCCATTGACAGCAAAACCATGACTGCAGCTCCTTGGTCACTTGAGAGTTGTGACACTAAAACACCTAATATCTCTTCACAAATCTCACTCCAGTCTCAGCTGCAAAAACCCCTCCTCCCAAACTCAGCACTTGAACAGTCACTCATCAGAAACCCTTTCTATCCCAGCACTGTTTCCCAGCTGAAAGCTGTTGGAAAGCTTGGCTGAATAACCAGCAAGTACTGAAACTCACTTTAAAACTAAGTAGAAATTAGTAAGTTTATTATAGGTGCTGGTATAATCCCAAACTTACACTTCTTTTAATGTTCACAGGATTTTAGTGTTGGAAAGTGGCCGGATAGCAGAATTTGATACTCCAGAACACTTAATAGCTCAGAAGGGACTGTTCTACAGACTGATGGAAGAATCAGGCCTTGCATGACTCACCCATAGCACCACCACCATCAGGAGTAATTGACCTTATAATTGAATTGTTTTGGTTTCTCTCTAAAATGCCTGACACTCAATCAAAGCTTGTTTGAGCCAGAACTGCAGTGAGTAGATGGAAAGGGGTAACTTGGGATACATGTTATTTCCATAGGAAACTCAGCAATTCCACTTTCATAATGTTTCCAGATACCAAAACCTCACTTGATTGCTGAAAACAAGCCAGTTAAATACTTTTCTGGTATAAAAGCAAACAAGTCAAAAGAGAAATACCACAGCATTCCTAATTTATACTGTAAATGGAACCCAAATATCCATCATACTTCAAGATTACACAGATTATTTTTAAAAGCCAAAAAGATTTTATGGACAGCAAGGAAGAATTCAACTGGTAGCAAGGAAACTTAACTGTTTGGAGTTGATGCTAAGCTCCAGGCAGAACAAATGTTGTATTTTGTCAATGTCTTAAGGACTGCTCACCCAGGCACTGCACAAACACTGGGGCAGGAGGGAAGGAGGCAGGATGCCACCTAGCAGGAGCACAGGCTGTCTGTTGTCACAGCTGGGGATCAGATCCACCCCCTCCCTCTGCAGGAGCAGGGCCAGCTCCAGCAGGGGCTCAGCAGTGTGGGACAGGACCATGGCTGGGAGCGGCAGCAGAGCAGCCATCACTCCTGCCCAGGGCTTGGAGCATTCCCACACCAAATGCTCACAGCAGGGCATGTCCAAACATTGACTCCAACATTTCCAAACTGAATTTGGCCACAAGGAATTTGCATGGTTGGAAGTGCCCTCCTCTCTGATCCCTGCAGCACACGAGGAAAGCAGCAGGATCTCACCTGTTGACCTGATGGTTCATTCCTGGTTCTCCTCCTGAGTGCAAGTTGACTCTTGCATGTTCCACCCTGGTGCTGCAGAGCCTCTGGCATGGTCACCTGTCAGGTGTTGCTTTAACAAACCAAAACGGAAGCAAAAGCTTCCTGGGCTTCCCACAGTGTCTGCAGCCAGAGCTGTCCCCAGGTCTCCTCAGGAATCACAGGATGACAATGTGACAGTCAATACACACTGAGAGATACTGCTCTTTACTGTGACACTTGTTAAAGCATCCCATTTTCTAGAGAGCTGAAATAAAAATAGAATCAAGTACTTAAATGGGTCTTTTCAATAACCTAGAGCAAATATAACACAGAAAGGGGCAGTGTGGAGGGGATAGGAGAGTTCCAGCTGCAAGAATGAACCCAGACTGGCAAAACCCAGCAGTTCCTTCTCCAACAGCTTCTGCACCCAAGTCAAGAACAATTTAGAGTTTCTGCTGGACAAGTGCCCAAGATAGCGAGGTCCAGTGCCTGCTAGTGCTCAGGTACCAGGAGAGAATTATCTTCCCTCTACTTTCTCCAGCCTCATACTTGAGGGCACAGACAAAACAATTCCAAACGCAGATACAAGTTAAGAGCACTCCAAAGGTTTATCAATGGATCTCAAAACCAGGAGCATTTAGAAATACTGAGATAAAAATGATATTTTTTTCCTTTTTAACTAAGGCAAAGAGGAACAGAATTGCCCATGTTGCTGGGTAATTCTCAAACAGATGCCTTTTAGCATTCCATAATCTCCAATATAAACAACTTCAAGTGCTCATTTTCTGTTCCGAAGTCAGTAACGAAGAGGAAAGGCGACAGGAGACAATAATCAAAACATACTTTCACACTGGTAACCTTTGAAAGGGCACAGTTTTGCTGTCAGCCAACCCAAAGTAAGAGCAAGCAAAAATATCATCAGCTTTCACACATCAAGTTGTGCTGCAAAGGCAAAAGAAAAGCAATTCCCCAAATTACATATGAAAACTCCATCATGTTTCAGATGTGCTGGAGTCCCCAGGGCTATGTCCAAGTACTGTGATGAATCTGGAGCTCAGGTCTCACAGAAGTTATCTGGAAGTTGGTTAAAGCAAAATGTATAAAAGAGTTAACATTTGGAGATACCATGCAGGAGAGAGAAATGCTACCTTAGAAAATCCTTGTGCCATGATTCCAAGTTTAAGGCAATACTGAAACTGCTAAAGCCAGAAAATAAATCAAAGGTGTCATGCACTGATTTGCACCAAGTTCAGGCCATACATGTACTGTGCAAGTCACATTTCCAGTGCCCCAGATGGTCACAAGACACAAGGGAATGCCAAAATGTTAAAGGTGTCAGTGACCCAAAGCACACTTGTTGCTGTGCCACATCACTGTCACACTGCAAAAGGATCCTCGTGTGGGTCAGGACTGGGAACACTTACAGAAGGAGCTCTGATCACATACATGAATTAGAGTGGGTTTTGCAGGTCTTCTAAAAATTCCAAGCTGGTTTTTTGGCAGAATCAGCTTTTCTTCCATGTTGCAGTAAATAATGTCGGCCAAGAGACATCAATGTGCACTGAAATCAGATACAGTAAATTCAACTGTACAGCAGCTCCTCTCCCTCTTCCTTGCCAGGGCTCTCCAAGGATGGGGTGGAAGAGGAGGATCACAAAGTGTTCCTGGAGGATGACTGTTCCCAAGCAGCAAAGGGTCTCAGTGGCATTGACAGGTGCTCCCCTGGGTCTCTGCAGGGAGCTCCATCTCCACCTTAGTGTCCAACACCAGCCCTCAGCACAGAGCCCCTGCCCTGTGCTCTGCCCCTATAAACCATGTGCTCCAAGCATCCCACCCTTCTGTCCACCACAGTGCTGCACCAGTGTTTGGGGATTTGAAAAATGTAACTCACAGCTCATCCCCAAACTCCCCAGGCAGCCCCTGCTCGTTCCATTTCCACAGAGAAGATCCACAGCAAGCTCAGGAGATGTGGCAGACACCGGCCATGGGCACCACTGGGGGTGACAAAGGTCCACAGCACCGTGGCTCCTGCTCTGCTGAGCCTCCACTGTCACCTGGTCTGCTCAGCAAACCACAAAACAATGCAGCCCAAGTGCAGCACAGTTATCTACACTCATGGCTTCTTACCCACCACCCTAACAACCCCAGACACCAGGACAAGCAGAATGATCACTCAAAGCAGGACCAATAATTTCTACTGCCACAGCAAAAAGCTGAACTGACAAAGCAAACCCTTTGTCAAACAAAAGGCAAGAAATAACACATTTTCTTTCAAACAATTTTTTACTGCAAGTTCTTTGCAAATATTTGCATTGTCATTACAAAAAATACCAAAGAAATTTTCAGTCTATTCAATTTCAGAGAGTCATAATTTACAAAAAAATAAATAGCTTTACTCTAAGGACAACAATTGTCTAGTATTAAGGTCAGCAATATCAATCACAGAAGTCCACATTCTCAGTGCTGAGTATCTGGATCCATCTGACTTAGTTTGCTTTCTTCCAGCATTTTCCTTTAAAATAAGACTAATCACAACATTAGAAAAGTAACTTTTTTCTTACCACAAAAAGATGAAAATTCAACATAGATCTTGAAAACCAGACTCCATTGCCATTTTAATTGTAGACCCTTCCAACACAAAACTTTAAAAGCACTATTTTTTTTAACCAACTGCAACAGAACATTTTCCCACAAAAATTAAGAGTCAACAGCAGCAGCATGAAGGGCATGTTTCTTTGATATAAGGCTAATGGTCCTTGATGTGGCAGAGCTGCTGTGAAAGCACACAACTACCAAAGCCAAGGGTGTTACAATCAAGGTCACCCTGAGCCTGCAGCCTCTCTCAGGCAAATCCTCGCTGCTCAGCCTTGTCCCCACAGGTGTCACCAGCATGGGCACCCCAGTCGGAATTCCTGAGTGAGCTGGGGGTAAGATCAGCACACAGCAGTGCACCATCTGCTGCACAGTTTGGTTCTGGAGTGACTGTCATCCCAGACATGCTGAAACACTGCTCTGAAGCTGACTGTGCTTTTTCACATCAGCACTACTGACATGACAGTGAACTTGCTGCTCTACGCTGTAAACACATGAAACCTTTAGGACAATGCATAAAGCATTAACCATGTACAGTAAATGCCATAAGGAGAAAGTCTGGCACACATTTTATTTCACAAGAAGAAAAATCTTTGGACTATAGTACTTTATGCCACAAAATGTTCCAAGTGCATCCCACAATAGATGGCTCATGAAATGAGGAATCTGCAAACAAGCAAATAACTAGCATTTGCAAAAGTGTTTTAAACAAAAAAAAAAAAAGGGAGGGAACTTCAGAACATAAAAGAGATGAGAAGAAAAAGCTTTTCTGAATTTCTCTGATGAATCACTCCACTGTACATTTGAGTGTATAATGACAGATTTCAAGCAAAAAATGGGAGTCTCTGAAGTGTCTTCCACAGTGTATGAGCTTCTCCTAAAGGTGGCTAAAATCAATACTAAGGAGAAATAAAAAATAAGAAAAAATTGCATCTTTATGTTGCTTCCACTGCCATGCTCTGGCTAACTTCACTGTGTCTGAAACTCAGCTGTGTGGTTCAGTCCAGCTCAGGAGAAGTTACAGTTCTCCAAATGTATCACCTCCCTCTTCCCCACAGTAAATAGCCAAGTTCAAATGCTACACCAAGCCTGAATCTTTGGCCATGCTATAGAAAATGCCTTTTTCCTGAAGTAGTTGGTCTGGGGTACCACACTCCACCACTTCTCCTCTCTCCAGGACTAAAACTCTGTAAAACAAGGAGAGGGAAAAAAAAAGGAAAAAAGGTCACAAGAAGATCCAGAAAGCCAGTGAGCATGGATATATGTGTACAGACAGAGACTGCAGCATAGCCATTATCTGCAAGTGAAGACAGTGCTGACTGTGTGAACAGGCTGCGGCTCTCACTGTCCCTTCCCAGCTCCCTGCAGAGGGTCTGTGTGGTGCACTGTCACCCATCCATCTGCAGACACAGCACATGTTACCCATCTCCCCCTGCACAGGAGGCTCTGCACTGCACCCTGAGCCAGCCACAAGCGAGCTGGCAGCACTTCTTGTCAAGGTGTGTGAGGGCCTGTGAGACCCTGCAAGACCCGGGATAACCTTCCCTTAACACCTCCCCACAGCAACTGCTGTTACACAGCTTCTGTGACAAACAAAAACATCCAGCTGGCCAAGGAAATCCAGCAAGGCAGTGGTCAGCTCCCTGCTGAAGCCCCGTTCCAGCTCGCCCATGGATGGAAGGCCCTGCAGAGACTGTCACCAAGGCCCTGGCAGGGGCTGCTGCCTGGTGTCACTGCTGCCATGGCCCAGCTGGATGTTCCCCTGCTGGCAGCACTCCTCTCTCTGATCTGGCACTACTGACAGCACAGAGGGCTACAAAAGCACACTGAAATCCTAGAAGTGCTCACTTTGCCATTGTGTGGTAAAAGGGACAAGAGCCTAAAACTGAAATATGAGACAACAGCTTGGCCCCCAAGCACACCTTAGCAAGGCAGCCAGCACAAGGGAGGCTGTATGAACTATAACCAGAAGTGATGGAAAGTGGAACAGAAAATGAACTTCAGAGGGCAGGATCTGCCCCTTGGGACTCCCTATGCTGCCTGTGCCTGAATTAGGACAAGACCCAGGAAAAGGCTCCTGTCCTTGCCTCTCTCCCCTTCCCAGTTTGCCCAAGCAGGAACAGCACATTAGCAGTGTGACAGAGGGACACCAAGCACAGCCACAAGCCAGAACACAAACACACCCTACCCCTCAAAACAGGGATTCCAGCAGCTCTGTGCAGAGGCAGCTAAAAAGGAACCAGTAAACACCCAACTAACACAAAGATTGCCATTTCAGTGGAGCACAGTGCAGGGCACACAGTCTGCAAGGTACGAGCAGCACCACTTTACCTCGTGTAGTCCATGATTGTGTTCAGACGATGTGCTATAGTTAACACAGTACATTCTTCAAACTGAGACTTTATAGTTGACTGTATGAGCTTATCTGTTTCAAGATCGACAGCAG